GAGAGAGAGAGAGAGAGAGAGAGAGAGAGAGAGAGAGAGAGGGAGAGAGAGACAGGGAGAGGGAGAGGGAGAGGGAGAGGGAGAAAGAGAAACATTGATGTGAGAGTGAAACATCAATTGGTTGCCTCCTGCACGCATCCCACCTGGGGATCAAACCCACGACCTTTCGGTGTTCAGGATGATGCTCCAACCAATTGAACCACACTGGCCAGGGCTCATTGGACTTTTATAGATACAGTTCCACAAATAATACACACCCTTTATCTGACAATACTATTATTGGAAATAAAATGAAACAAAAACATCCTGTGTATATTTTTTCTGTTTTCTACAAAGGAAGTATAACATTTTTCAGAATAAGTCAAATGCATACATTATAGTTGTAAAAAGTGAAGCAATTCTGGAAAAAAGAATTGCTTCTCCATCAGAATATGGAATGCTATTGGCAAAACCAGTAACAGAACAAAACAAAAGACATTGAACAATATGTGGGAAAATCAGATTGTTTCAAAAATCTTTCCTCCCTTTCCCATCCAGGTTAATTTATTCCTAGAGAGTCTTGCTTTGTGTGTCTATAGCATTTATTGTTTCCCTCCCCACTTAGGTACTTGGAGAAAAAACGACTTTGCTTTCCTCGCTTCTTCTTCGTCTCGGACCCGGCCCTTCTGGAGATTCTGGGGCAGGCCTCGGATGCGCACACTATACAAGCCCACCTGCTGAATGTGTTTGACAACATTAAAAGTGTCAAGTTCCATGAGAAGGTTCGCCTAACTCTAATTACTGGCCAGCGATGACCATATTTAGGATCTCTGCTGTCTTTACTAAACAGCTCTCCACTTACTGCCCTGGCCATTAACCCTCAGCCGGTGACTAAATACAAGCTTTTGAGCCCAATTTACCTGCAGAACTATGTAATTTTTTTAAGATCTAGAGTGTAGATCTGAATAACAAATAGTTTAACTATGATTAAGCATGTAATGTACATAGCTTTCATGGTTTTACATGCCAAGTTAACTGTTTAGAGATTCGATCAAAGAAGGCACCAGTTGCTCATCCCAGCATGCAGTCTGCACTTGTTGAGCAACTATCACGTGCCGTGGCAGATGTCGTCTTGACAGTGGGAGCATACAGAGCTCCGGGAATTCACGCCCTGGTGGCGTCCCCAGCGTGCAATTAGTGCAGTGGTACAGCGATGCCATTGTAAGTAGTGAAAAGCCAGTCATTGAAGTTCAAGCCCCTTGCTATGTGCCAGGGCTTCAAGGAGAAATGCATCACAAATAGCACTGAAGTCGTTCTTATGCAGCACAACATTGAGAGAAATTTGACATTAAAATTAAACTCTTGGTAATTTTTGACTTGCTGTGCTGGTATTCTGCACAAGGATCAGAGAAATACTTGTCAGGGAGCCCTCACCTGGGTGGAAGGGTGTGGGAGGAGGCTTCGTGCAGGAGAAGATGGTGTTTGAACGGATTTTTTGAAGGTGAGTGGAACATAGTCAAGCAGATAGAGAAGGGATAGACACATGGTCCAGTCAGAAGGAAGGGCACGTGGAGGTATGGGCAGGAATGTGGGTGTGTGAGGGAGTGTATTCGTTTCCCGAAGCTCTCCTGGACTGGAAAACACAAGTTTATTCTCCCACAGTTCTGAACTGAGATGTCAGCAGGCTGTGGGGACAATCTGTCCCATGCCTCTCTCCTCGTTTCTGGTGGTGGTCAGAAACACTGGTGCTGCTTGGCTTGTAGACACATCACTTCAATCTCTGCCTTTGTCCTCACATGACATTCTCCCAGTGTGTCTGTCTCTAAATATCCTTCTCTTTCTAAGGATGCCAGTGGTTGGATTAGGGCCCACCATTATCCAGGACCTCATCTTAACTTGATTTTATTTCCAAAGAAGGTCCCAGTCACAGGTACTGGGGCTTAGGGCTTTGACATATAGTTTGGGGCTGAGAGACACAATTTAATCCACAGCCAGAAGTGATGAGCAAAGGGTGGACCAGATTCCAAAAGGCCACCCATTCTACTCCATTGTGAATGTGACAAGATACAAGGGAGGTTTTTATGCAGGGCAGGGCAGTGACCTGATTTGAGTTTCAGAAGGATTCTCTGGCTCATGTAGGTGCTGGAATAGAGGGGAGCATGGAAACCAGTGTCAGAAGTGACTGCAAGGTCAGGATGGAAGAGGCTGAGCTGCTGCAATAAAGTCTTGACCAAGGGGGTGAATAGAGAGGAATGGAAAACATGGAAATGGTTTTAAATCAATGTTTGTGTAAATCTACTGGACTCGTGGGTTGAAAGAAGGGATTGAATTACCTGGGAAGTTCTTTCTGATGTTCTGCTTAAATCCTTCAGTAAAAGCACTGGAACTTCATGGTACTTGGTGAAGCTTTTCACACTCTCATTATACATTGAAGATAATTTAAATTTTCTCATCTAAAGCTGCTACTCATAGCAATTACTTTAAAAAAATAGCACTGATTTTTTGTTGTTTCTGCCTTAAGGTGTCTACAACCAGTGGCAGATTATGGTTTTGTGGGTCCTAAATATTATACAATTATAAATACCAATTTATGTTTAGAACCTTGGAATGGGTTCATGTAAGTGAGAGGCCCTGAAATGTAAGACTCATTGGCTTCATTAATACAGTTCTAAAGCTGACATTTAGGATTCAGTTCTAAATCTGAGACCACTTACTAATGAAGAAAAACAATACATATTCACATTTACTTTATAGTTTGCATTATATATATGTTTTTCCAATTGGCATGAATAGGAAGGTGGGTAGTGAAGTAGAGAAGTGAGGAAGGCATTATTTGTAATGTCTAATTTTAGGCAAGAGATTTAGTCTCAGAGGTTTGTCCTCCAACATTGCCTGATCAGTGAATGGCAGAGCATCATTCAAATCTGTCTTTTAGAACCTCAGACACCATGCTATCCTCATCATGCCATACTGCATGGAGCTTGAAGTGGAATGACAAGATGAGGAGCTGGGTTTGGAGGAGAAAACATTGTGAGCAACCAAGGGCTCCTGTAAGGAGCACACTGTTTCGTACAGGATTGGAGTTACCTTGTAAGGTGTTTGCTTGATCATATTGGCCAGGTCATTGCTAATGTCAACTTGATAAGCTCGTGGTGTGGATGACAATCTCTTAGGAAGTTTCATTTCATTTGCAGAACTGGAGATTTTTTGATTGTTACATTTGTATTGAATATTTCTTTTAGAAAACAAGTTTTCCCCTCTCAAGTATAGACTATTTAGAATGGATTTAGTATTCCCTTTTAGCTTCATGGATAACTTCTTTTTTACTGTTTTGAAATTGATTTTATGTCACATTTTGACTTTTATGTTATAATCTGTAGCTTAGCTTCTGTCGGAAGGAAAACATTGACACGAGGGCAATGGAGGAATATATTCTTTATATGAATATAGCTATTTTTTTTGGCTTCTAACATAGATCTATGATCGCATTCTGTCAATTTCCTCTCGAGAGGGTGAGACGATTGAATTGGATAAACCTGTGATGGCAGAGGGCAATGTGGAAGTTTGGCTCAATTCTCTCCTGGAGGAATCTCAGTCCTCATTGCATAATGTGATTCGCCAGGCAGCTGAAAATATTCAAGAAACAAGTTTCCAACTGATTGAATTTCTTTCTTCCTTCCCTGCTCAGGTCAGTGTGTTGAAATTGGAAAGTATTTTTTCACAGAATAGTCATTTTAGAGCTCATATATTTTCTATTGTAAATGACACAACTGGCTTCTATTTAACTCTGGACCAATATTAAGATTTTTATAAGGATTTGATAAATATATATAAGCTTAAAGGTTTCAATGACAGATTATTTGGTTATATATGTGCACATATATACATATATGAGTGTTGTAGAGATAATTGATATATTTTGTTTAATTTTAAAGTTTTTTTCTTACTGAATATCCTTAGCACATAAATCATAAAAATGTGCTGAGTGTATGTATGCCTTACCATAAAAATGAGAAGTATATATCAGCATTAAAATTCAGAAAACAATATTTTCTTAGTCATTGTGATAAATAAAGATCTTGCAAGTATCTACTATGTATAAACTGTGTGTTAATTTGGGAAAAGCAGGTTTAAGATGCATGTTTTCCCAGCCAGTAACTTAAAATCTAGCTAGGGAGAATTATCGCTTAAACAATAAATGACTTAAAGTTATAAGAAAAAAATTATAGATATATTGTGAGGCTATGCATACTTAATTGTCAGGTAAACAATATGAATAGTGTTTTCCTAGGTTCTGATAAAACATATAAAGTTGATGTAATCAAAGGTGACATACTTGGATAATCACAACTATTCACTACACTGTAATTTCTGTTTGTTTTTTAATTTTATTTTTAATTCTTTAATCTTTTTTATTGAACTTATTAGAGTGACATCTATAATAATAAAAGCATAATATGCTAATTATACTGAACAACCTTCTGGACGATCTTCCGGATGGAGCCAGGGCTGCAAGGGAAGCCTGGGTCCCGGCCAGCGGCCCGAGGGAGGCCCGGGTCCTGGGTGGGTGCCCGAGGGAAGCCGGTGCCAGCAGCCAGGGCAAGGAAGGCCTACTCTTGCACAAATTTCGTGCATCAGGCCTCTTGTTGGTTAATAAAATTATATAAGTTTCAGGTGAATAATTCTATTCGTATTCCATATACACTCATGAAGCCCTTTTTATTTCCATAGGTTGGATTGTTAGGAATTCAGATGATATGGACACGGGATTCAGAAGAAGCCCTTAGAAATGCTAAGTTTGATAAAAAAATCATGCAGAAAACCAATCAGTCTTTTTTGGAGCTGTTGAACACATTGATAGACCTCACAACCAAGGATCTGAGCTCCATGGAACGAGTTAAATATGAGACTTTGATCACTATTCACGTGCACCAAAGGGATATCTTTGATGACCTGGTAAGTGCTCTGTGAATGCTGTGGCATATACAGAAGCGCAAATACTAGACACTATCTGTGCTGACCCACTGGAATTATGACTTCAACGAAAAGGTTAAATTCAGGCAAAAACTCATCTTCACATTGAGAGTTTGTCGGGTTTTCTTTTCAGTCTTTAGACAAAATTTCAGTCATATTCCAACAGTCGTTGCTAAGATGTTATTGAGGAAATTAGATTTTGTTTTAAAATTTGTTAGGCGATTATTTTAAATACTCAAATGTCATGTAGCATCCTGAAAAGTATTCATTTGTCTTGTGCACTTTTTAGATATCAGTTAAGGGTGACCAGTTTCTTGATACAGAATTGATAAGTAATGTTGCTAGTAGAGCAGTTAATACTTTCTTTAAGGCTTTTGGTAAATCAAATCTTTAACAAGTTCTGCTACATTTTATGTCATTGACCACAAATGGTCTTTTCTAATATAGATGGTGACATTCAGGTGTCATGCAGATTTTTGCCTTTAAAAGAGAACAGGGTGGAAAAGAGTTTAGCAGCTCTTGAAAATAGGAAATGTGAAAAGACATGAAATTTGTCCTCTACTATAAAATAGGACATTAGATAAGAGGCAAAAAGCTCTTCTTATTTTCATAGTAATTTTCAGGATCGTGTCTCACTCCATTATGTAAAAAAGATTATGAAAGATTGGTTCTAATATAATGGAAATAATGACAGCACATTCAAGCTGTTGTGTATTAATCTCTTAATATTTAAGCACTCTCTTTGCCTCTCTGAGAAATAAAGGGTTCAGGGTAATTTTAGATTTCCTATTTGTTAAAGAAAAATGATTAAAGTGGCTCAAAATTTTGGCTAAAAATTTCAGACGTATTGCTGAGCAATAACCTGCCATTAGACATTTTTGCCCTCTGCCAATCCTAGGAAAAATATTTAATGGATTTAAATAAAACCAACAATGTACTTTATCATAATCCCAAGAGATGAGTTTAGTTCTGTCTTTGAACACCAAAATATATTTTCATTGTCTGTATTTCATGGTTAGGCTTGTGGTATTGGACATTTAAGGGTGAAATTTAAGAAATGAATATCTTACTATTAAAATATATCATGCTCTTTAATTGGTGGAACACAATGAGAGGTTTCTCTTGAATTTTCCATGCCCATGTATTCTAAAGTATCTTTTATTTTGCTGATCAATAGATGAGTGGGTTGGATAGTGGTTATAGTTGACATCTCCGACCTAATTAGGTAGTCTTTGAGTTCATTATGATATACATGAATGCTAATGTGCACATTTAATATATAGTTTTCATCCCAGTTTTAACCAATACCTTTTGCATTTCAGTGTCAGATGCATATCAAGAGCCCTACAGACTTTGAGTGGCTGAAACAGTGCAGATTTTATTTTAACGAAGATTCTGACAAGATGATGATTCACATCACAGATGTGGCTTTCATATACCAGAATGAATTTTTAGGCTGCACTGACAGGCTTGTCATAACTCCACTCACAGACAGGTGATGGGACGATTCTGTGATTCCACAACCTCTCTTGCCCCCTCCCCCCTCTACAATTTGCTCAGGGGATTTCTGCTTAATGTCCTTTCATAGTTTATAAGCTCTTTTATATCAAAGGCTTTGAAATTCAGTATTCTTAGCCTTACAGGTGTGTCTGCACATGCGGTTTAGGTTTGTGTTTGAGACAGACTTTGCTTCTATTGCTTTCAGTCTTACAGAGGCATAGTTCAAATGACCTCTGTGGACATCAAAATAGGCAAGAAAGGGGATTAATGGCCATGTGTCCATAGGTGCAAATCACATGGGTCTTAAGGACTGCTTTAGGGACTGTGACATCTCTTGTGGTTACAAAGACAATTAAGATTTTTTTTAGCAGGGAAATAATGGAGTGCCAGTGCAGGTGAAAAGCGATGGGGAGGACATTGGGCTGCACATCTGGAGTTTAGTCCTGTCTTCTGCCTGTTATTTACCAGCTGTGTTAGCGAGATCTGCAGGCAATTTCCCGGGACTCGGTTTCCTCATCTATAAGATGAACCAGGCTATCTCCAAGGGTCCTTTCATAGCTAATACTCTGTAATTCACTTAGTCTAATTTAAACTGGGTGGCATCAGCCACTTGTATATGCTCTGTTCAGGGATGCACTGAATATTAATTTTGGACACAGTGGCTGTGCCTAAAAATCAATATTTGGCCTAAGTAGAAGCTGAAGCTGCATATCAGCTGTTTTCACAGAATGAACCTCTGGGCTATTAGATTGCAACTATTATTAGACAAAACATAAAAGTTTGATATAGCAGCACTGTCACCTGTTTAGACTGTTTCTTCTGTTCTTTTACTTCATTCATGACACTTAAATGAAATGCTTCTGATAGCAGAGAGCTTACAGCAGCCTGGTGGGGAGGCAGAAAACTCTAATGGAGCTGTGGAAGGGCACTAAATCACCGCTCATGAGTGATGACATTTTTGAAAGTAGCAAAGAGGCTGGAAAGGAAAGCAGGGAAAGGATAGAGCGAGCTCCACATACATGTAGGATGTTCTGGGGAGAGTGTGTGCTTGCATGTAAACATACATATGAAGATGCTCTGAGAGATTTTTGCTTATCTCTGGAGGTCACGTCCTAGAGATTTAGTCCTGAGTATACTAGTATGCTCCCAGAAATGGGGTGAAGATGTGGTCATTTAGTAGTGTGTGATTTAAATCTCATGTGACCGCTGGTCCCCAACTACATCAAATGATGAACTCACATTCAAAACGGGGTTGCTCTACTTTAATGGTTCCAAATCTGTTTCCTAGAATACTATTTTTCAGGAGTGGTAGGTCTGTGAAGAAGTTGCAACATTAGTTTTGGAATTGCTGGGTACTGTTTTTCATACTTGGACACTCTCAATTACATTATCCTAAGAAAAGCTGTTTAACCTTTTAAAGAGTTTTCAATCTTATTTGACCATAGACCACCCCTTTCTTTTTCCTTAATGCATGTAATAGCCATAGGATATGTGCATTTTAGAAGGCAGCTTTGGAAATGTTATGTGGGGACAATGGCCTGGATCTTCTTCTTTCTTCTTTCTTCTTTCTTCTTTCTGCTTTCTGCTTTCTCCTTCTCCTCCTCCTCCTCCCTCCTCCTTCCTCTTCTTCTTCTTCCTCCTCCTTTTCCCCTTCCTTCTCCTCTTCTTCCTCCTCCTCCTTCCTCCTCCTCCTCTTCCTCTTTCTCCTCCCTCCTCCTCCCTCTTCCTCCTCCTCTTCCTCCTCCTCTTCCTCCTCCTCTTCCTCCTCCTCTTCCTCCTCCTCTTCCTCCTCCTCTTCCTCCTCCTCTTCCTCCTCCTCTTCCTCCTCCTCTTCCTCCTCCTCTTCCTCCTCCTCTTCCTCCTCCTCTTCCTCCTCCTCTTCCTCCTCCTCTTCCTCCTCCTCTTCCTCCTCCTCTTCCTCCTCCTCTTCCTCCTCCTCTTCCTCCTCCTCTTCCTCCTCCTCTTCCTCCTCCTCTTCCTCCTCCTCTTCCTCCTCCTCTTCCTCCTCCTCTTCCTCCTCCTCTTCCTCCTCCTCTTCCTCCTCCTCTTCCTCCTCCTCTTCCTCCTCCTCTTCCTCCTCCTCTTCCTCCTCCTCTTCCTCCTCCTCTTCCTCCTCCTCTTCCTCCTCCCTCCTCCTCCTTCTCCTCCTCCTCCTTCCTCCTCCTCCTCCTTCCTCCTCATCTTCCTCCTCCTCCTCCGCTTCCTCCTCCTCCACTTCCTCCTCCTCCCCCCTTCCTCCTCCTTCCTTCTTCCTCTTCCTTCCTCCTTCCTCCTCATTCCTCCTCCTCCTCTTTATTCTTCTTTAAATCTTGCGCAGGTTTCATTTCACTGCGGTGTTTCAGAATATGTTCTAGATGCCAGTGCTTTGGTTCCAGTGCTGTCTCTACCCCTCAAGGTGTTACATCACGTTGGCCCAGGCTCTGGGAATGAGCATGGGAGGAGCCCCCGCTGGACCTGCAGGAACGGGCAAAACAGAAACCACCAAGGATATGGGACGATGTCTTGGGAAATATGTTGTGGTTTTCAATTGTTCGGACCAGATGGATTTCCGAGGGCTTGGACGGATTTTTAAAGGTGAAGGTTATGTTTTTCTTTTCTTTTATCTGATGAGAAATTTCAGTTAAGGTGGAATAGGTTAAGATTTATATTTCAATAATTGGCTTCATTTTAGGGTCATTGTTACACGTTGTAACTCTTTTTGGAAAATCTGAATCTTAGTAGTGTTGAGTGGATCAACTGTCAATGCCACTGGCCTTTCATAATGCTTCTTTCACTGCAGGCTGGGTGCTTACGGAGAAAATGCCACACTGCGAGCTGTTCTGCGGGCGCTCTCTGCATGTCTGTTTGTTCCGCTTTATGTTTGCAACCAGCTTATGTCTGGCTTGTCTTGGCAGCTGCGTAATGTCCTTTTCCTTGGCCTTCCAAAAATTGCATACTAATTGTATTTTCCATTCCATTCTGTTTCCTTGCTAAGGACTGGCACAATCTGGATCCTGGGGTTGTTTTGATGAATTTAACCGTATCGATCTACCAGTTCTCTCAGTTGCAGCCCAGCAAATTTCCATTATTTTGACATGCAAAAAGGAGCATAAGACATCTTTTATTTTTACTGATGGAGATAGAGTGACTATGAACCCTGAATTTGGACTTTTTCTAACCATGGTAAGGAAGCTCTACTGAATTTCTGCCTCTTGTCACAGGTTTCATATATCTCCTTGGTCATATGTCACCTACCTTCCATGAATGGAAACTGGGATTGTAACTTTCACTCCTGGTTGAAAGCCTTTGGAGTTAAAGCTCATATTAACAACTCACCAGTTAATCTCTTCAGGGAAAAGGAGAGGGAGATAGGTAAATGAATTCTCTGGTTGTCATTCCAGATTTGTGGTGTGTACATAATGGATCTTTTAATGTCCTACTGATGTATGCTGCTTGCCCCATGATCATATCATTCATCCTAGGGTTTTATTTTATGTAGAATCCTGGCTATGCTGGGCGGCAGGAACTCCCCGAAAACTTGAAGATTAACTTCCGCTCCGTGGCCATGATGGTCCCTGACCGTCAGATTATCATAAGGGTGAAGTTGGCTAGCTGTGGCTTCATTGACAACATTGTTTTGGCCAGGAAGTTTTTCACGCTCTACAAGCTATGTGAAGAGCAGCTTTCTAAGCAGGTGTGACATTCTGAAGTTTTTCTATGTATGCAAGTTTCATTTTCCTATTGAGTGAAATGTTTTCATTTTGAAAAATTGTAGGCTAGGGTTGTTGACAGATACCTTATTGATATAAAGTAGAAAGTTATGTATTATAAAAATAATTTTGTATGCATAGTCTTATTAAGAAGTACATTTAAAGAAATTAATGTTTATGACATAGAAATGAAGTAAGTACTATCTGGACTGATTATAGATATTAATATTTTCTCTTTATCCCACCTATACATTTATCATAATATGTGTTATGTGTTCTTATGGTTTTTAGCAACCTTTCAATCATGTACTCTTTTCACTTTCAAGCTCATTCAGGTATTTGGCCAAGCTTTGCTATTTGTCTGTATAACTTCTTTGCCAATTTCCTGTACTGTTTGGAGTAGCCTATTCTAACTTCATGGGATTTCAGAGTTAAGAGGCACACAATTAATCATTTATTACTTCTGTATTAGTTATCTATTGCTGTGTCATAATGGCCACAAAATTACTATAGGAAGAACAATATGTATTTACTATCTCACACTTTCTGTGGGTCAGGAGTCCTGGCACAACTTGGTTGGGTCCTCTGTTTAAAGTCAAACAAGGCAGCAGTCAGGTGTTGGCTGGGGCTGTGGTTTCATCTGATGCTTGACTGGGGACAGATCTGCTCCCAAACTCACTCATGTTGTTGGCAGAATTTTTTTCCTTGAGGGATTCTTCCTGGCTGTTGGCTGGAGAAGGACACTTTCAGTCCCCACAGGCTGTGTGCCGTTCTTTGCTACCTGGGTTTCTTCAACATGGCCATTTGCTTTCTCTAAGTCAGCATGGGAAAGAGGCTCTAGCAAGATGAGTGCTACAATCTTATATTAGTCAGGATTCTTCATAGAAGCAGAACCAATAGGGTATATATGTTTATATATAAAAGATTTATTATAAGGCATTGCCTCACACAGTTATGAAAGCTGGAAAGTCCCATGATATGCTGTCTACAAGAGGTGGCCCAGGAAGGCTGGAGGTATAGTTTGAAGGGTTGATGGTGTAGATTCCAATCTCAGTCTGAAGACCAGAAACTAGGAGTTACCGAGGGCAGGAGGTAGATATCCCAGCTTAGCAGTCAGGCAGAGAGGACGAAGAGAGTGAATCCAATGGGTTCCTCCAGTCTTCAATGGGTTGGATGGTGCCCGCCTACATTGGGGAGGGCCATCTACTGTACTTAGTCCATAAAGTCAAATGTTACTGTCTTTCAGAAACACCATCACCAGAAATAATGTTTAATCAGCTCGCTGAGCATTTCATGACCGAGTCAAGCTGACACATAAAATTAACCATCACAAATCTTACATAATGTGACCACATAATCATGTACATGTAACCGTATGCAACCTGTCACCTTTGCTGTTTTCTATTGGTTAGAAGCAAGTCACAGGTCCTGCCTACGCTCAAGGGGTAAGATCACACAAAGGTACAAAGACCAGGAGGCAGGGATCATATCATAAATTTCTAGAATATATAAGTAAAAATTACTAAAAGCACATGCTGAGTAATTATATATTGTAATAAGCATAAAAATAAACTGACTAACACCCCTAACATATGTAACTCTTTGATTCCTCTCCTCACTCTGGCCTTATTCCAAACTTTTTTGAATTTACTTGTTATTACTTACAATTTATATTCTCACTCAAAAGATCTTTCCTTACGAGTGTTCAAGCACAGACAGAGCCTTTTGACCCTGGCTATTGAGCTTTCCTGGTTAGACTGACCCTATTTTTGCCACCACCATTCTTGGTTTCTTCTGTTTATTGCAGACTTTACTCACTCATTCTTATCTTTTCTGTGTAAAAGAAATATTTTTTACAATGTAGAGAAATTCCCACATCACTGACTCCTGTTCTCTTCTTCTCAGGACTTCAATCTTTCTGCACTCCTGTAGCCCGCACTCTGTTATTTATTTATCTTCCAAATTATTAGTACTAAATGATGCACAGTGCTCCCAGGTACCTTAGCAGATACTTGTTTTGGTTTTGTGTTTTGTTTTCCTATAGGTATTTTTTTTGTGTGTGTGTGGTAAAAAACATGAAACATTAAACTTACCCACTTAACCATTTTATTTTTTATTTTTTACTATTGTTAATGGCAGAGTATATATCTATATCTATCTATCATCTATCTGTATATATCTATATGTATACTAGTATACACACACACACACACACATATATAATTTATCTTTATTGTTGAAAGTATTACAGATGCCCCCCCATTGACCCCCTCTTCCCTGCTCGCCTCTCCTACCCCCTCCCCAGGCCTTCACAACACTATTGTCTTTGACCATGGGTTATGCATATATGCATATAAGTTCTCTGTTTAATCTTTTCCCTTTCCCCCCTTTCTCTCTATTCCATGCTTCCATGACTCTGGATTTGTTTTGTTTGTCAGTTTATTTTGTCCATTAGATTCCACATATAAGTGAGATCATGTGACATCTTAACCATTTTAAGTGTATACTGACGGCTTAGGCCTGCTCCCCGCAAAGCTGTGAAGCAGATTTCCAGAAATTTTTCATCTTGCAAAACTGAAACAGCTCTTTAAACAGCTCCTCTCTCCTTCTGTTTCTATAAATCTGACTATTCTAGAAGCATCACATAAGTGGAATCATCTAGGATTGTCTTTTTTGGTGACTGGCTTATTTCACTTAGTACAATGTCTTCAAGGTTCATCCATATTGTAGCATATGACAGGATTTCCTTCCTTCTTAAGGCTGAATGACCTACCCTTGTGTGTATATACCACACTTGATTTATCCATTCATCTGTCCATGGACCCCTCAGCCCGCCTGCCCTCTCTCACAGTCCAGGAACCCTCAGGGGATGTCCTACTGACGGCTTAGGCCTGCTCCCCGGAGGGAGCTGCACTCGGGCTTCCCTCTGCAGGAGGCGACTGGGCTGATCAGGTGAAGGTTACTGGCGGCTTAGGCCTGCTCCCCAGAGGGAGCTGCACTCAGCCTTCCCTCTGCAGGAGGCGACTGGGCTGATCAGGTGAAGGTGCCACCCCCATCACCCCTCCGCTGCTGCCGGCTGCCATGGCTGCCTGCCCTCGGCGCTTGCAGCTGCACAGCTTTGTCTGGAAGGACATCTGGAAGGATGTTCGGCTGTCTGGTCTAATTAGCATATTATGCTTTTATTATTATAGATATGTACTAAAATTTGGCATGATTGAGTTTTTAAAATATATATTAAGGCAATAATAAAGCTGGGGGCTTAGCTTCTGATTTGTTCTTATTCTTCTCCCCTGTAGGTAATCCTGGAATGTAGCTACTTTACTTTCTTCTTAATACCCTGCCTGTTTACTTACCAGTGCATATGATGGTCATAACTGAGGTCTCAGTTTAATTCTGGTTCAGAATTTCAGCTTTAGAGATATGAGGACATATTCTTATGGATTACTGATTAAGAAGAAGCTCAAGGGGATGTGTGTACTCTAAGAAGAAATTTATGCCTCTCTCCCTGTCAAGATATAGCTATTAATTCTGATCTACGGGCTTAAATTAATGATGGTACAGGAAAGGACTCTTGGGTATTCTCTATTTGGTCAAAAATATCTTGATAAAAATGTATTGCTCCACTAACTGTACATGTTCTCTAAAGGCACATCAGCATTTTATTCGTTATGTGGTCAGATTGGTATAGCTTCTGTGTGTAAGTCCATATTGAAAATAAGCCTGGCATACCTTACAATTTTCAGGTACATTATGATTTTGGTTTGCGCAACATTCTGTCAGTCCTGCGAACATTGGGAGCAGCAAAAAGAGCCAACCCCACAGATACAGAGTCCACGATCGTCATGCGCGTCCTACGAGACATGAATCTTTCCAAACTGGTATGATTCACAGATGGAAAGTTCCGCTCACTTAAATATCAGTTCAACTAACTAAGCACAAATGAGATGTAGAAATATTTATTTAATATGCTCAATTTAAAATGCCTAATTATCAGATAAAGTGCTGGGGAACACAACTTTAAATTACACTTTTCAGTTCTTTTTGTACTAACTCATGTCTAATCTAACATATACCTATTCCAATAGAATGTAAATGGGTTAAAAAAAACCCCACAGGTTATGTTTTCAAAAACTTTGAGTCATTTTGTGTTTTAGAGCTAAAATCTCACTTTTCTTAAAGTTTGTAGAGCCTGGCAGAGAATTATATGTAAATTTTACAAGTGTGTAATAATTTTGTATGTTTCATTTTGTGGTAGAGACTGATAATCAGTTTTCCACTATCAGTGGATCTATGTACAGGTGACAGAATGATATTTTTTTATTTCAAAATAAAAGTATGAACCAAATTCTAATTCATGAATTTGCTACTATCTCTCATTAAAATTCTTTTAAGTTAGAAATTTTAGACTATGTAGCAATGCCCCAAGCTGATTATTTCTAGGAAAGTTGTCATGTAGACCACATTTAATTTCCTTCTATTTTCTCCCATTTTTTCTCTTCTTTCTCCCTTTCCTCTCCTTCCTTTTCTTTCTTTTTTTTTAAAAAAAAAAGATTTTATTGATTTTATTGAGAGAGAGGGAGAGTGACCGGACTCGAACCTGGGACCCTTGAGTCCGCAGGCTGACGCTCTATCCACTGAGCCAAACCGGTTAGGGTTCTCCTTCCTTTTCTAAAAATAATTTGTAACTTATGGGAAACACCTCTTAACTTCAAAGAAGGTGATATTTATTTATTAACGGTTATGATGAAATGATCTGAGCGGGGTCAGGCACCATCAGTGTACCTGGTCGTTGCTATGATTATGCCAAAATCGTGGGTCTGATTTCTCTTTCTTTTCTTTTTGAGATCGATGAGGATGAACCCTTATTTTTGAGTTTGATTGAAGATCTCTTCCCAAATATTCTTCTGGACAAGGCAGGCTACCCTGAACTGGAGGTGGCAATTGATAGACAGGTAATACATTTCACAGGGCATCAAGTACCCAGTCTGTCTCACCTGGGTTTCAGGGAATCAGGTGGAGCCAGTGCGGCCCAAGTCTGCAGGTTCCAAGAACAACACCTGAGGCTGTGACTGCTGTTTTTGTGAGTGGATGTGATCAGAGTATATTTTAATATTTATTGCTAATGACTATAGTAACATAGAATAAATACATTCAATTTCAATAAAAATTGCTATGTAATTTGCACAATAGCGATTTCCGCTATTCATGTACAAGGATTACTTGGTTATATTTTCAGGGAATAGAGCAAAACAAACCTCAGAATGTGTAAATTCTATTTGTTGGCCTTAGACTGGTTGGCTGTGACGACAGTTTTAAGAGAGGCTGTTGCACCCCAGGACAGAGCTCTTCCTGCCGTTGCACAACCACACGTCCAGTGGCTACTTGCTAGTGGCCCTGGTACTGATGGAAAGCAGATTCCAAAATGAGATGCGATGGGCAGCAGGGGCTGGCAGGGCTGGCTGATGCCTGCCCAGGCCGGTGTGGCTCTGTCAGTGTCATATGCAGAGATCTCATGTGGCCCCGCAGATATCACCTTTCCCTCCCACAATCACTTGTGATTCCTTCCGGGGGCTCTGAGGGAGTCTGCTGCATATCTATATCATTAGGTGTCTAGATTTCCCATGATACTTGTACAGCTTTAACTTTTCATGGTCTCCTAAGAATGGAAATGAATTATGTAAACCTTGTGCCTCAATTTCCTTTCCTAGGAATAAGAGCTGGGGGAAAAATTTCATAGAAATGGTGATTAGCTCATATTTATAAAATACATTTAAATTCCTTGAAGGTATTTCTAATAAAAGTGAAACATGGTAGCATTAAATAGATATTTTGCTTTAAAAATCAATATATAAAAGGTTTAATCTTTTTTTTTATCAGGTAAGAGTGAAATTCGTTTTGCAAATGGTTTCTTTATCAAATGACCTAACTTACTGTAGCATTACCTAAAAAGCTAAGTATAAAGTGATTTGTAAGGTGAGTTGCATTAGTACTTTGTAGCATGCGAAAAATCTGGAGTATATATATAGTGTAAAGTGACACATGATGATTAATCAAAATTATTTAAGTAAAAATAAAAGCATTATTTATAGTACATTTAAGCATAGGATTCTAGTTAAAAGCATGGGCTGTGGAGTTCAATTCCCCATCTCATAACTTTACAAATATTAATCTTGGTCAAGTTACTTCATCGCTCTGTGCCTCAGTTTCCTTATCTGTAAAATGAAGATATCCATAGTACCAATCTCATATTATTGTTATGAAGATTAAACTTAGGATACTTTGGCACAGAGTAACTTCCATACATGCATTTGATAGGTTAAAAACTACCCAGTGGACTTACGAAGAGCTTGACGTTTATATGGAATTTCAGTCAGCCTGGTGTACTAGAAATTTTTCCAGTAATTAAATGTTATCTTTTAAATTAAACATTTAAAATACATTTCATACTTGAGTCTTTATTCTTCAGTTGCTCTTAAGATGTACATTTAATACAATGTTAATATAAATGCATCCAATTCCCAAAGACAAATGCAGATGTTTCTTATTAGCTTGCTATAACATTTGATTATATTCAGCCTGCTTTTTGTTCTGTACATATATTCTTTTATGCAATATATATTTTTAGTGTGATAAAATACGTAATATAAAATTTACCATTTTCGCCATTTTAAGTGGACAGTTTAATGGTATTAAGTACAGTCTCATTATTGTGTAAACATCACCACCATCCATCTCCAGACCTTTTTTCATTTTCTAGAATGAAACTCCATACTTACTAAACATTAGCTCCCCATTCCTCTACCCCCCTCCCCCCCCCGCCCCATGTTCTGTGCTTATTTTGAGCACATTGGTAAGCCCGGCTTGCTGTTGATGTGACTCACTGTAGGGTTTTTGTTATGTTTTCAGGTGGAAGAAGCTGGTTTAATCAGCCATCCTCCTTGGAAACTGAAAGTCATCCAGCTGTTTGAAACACAGAGAGTGCGGCATGGAATGATGACCCTGGGGCCTAGTGGAGCAGGGAAAACCACCTGCATCCACACCTTGATGAAAGCCATGACAGGTACGGGGCAGCCAAGCCGCCTTGCTCTGGGTGACACATTTAAATAGTTGTGGCACATTTAAATTCCCCAAGAGGAAACAAAGGTAGATACATGAATATATTTTTATAGGAGAGGATGCTGCTTTACTGATAATTGGGTACATTTTAAAGAGAACATATTACATTCATGGACTACCGGGGGAAAACATTTCTTTCCAACTTTACTGAGATATAATTGACACATACCATTGTGTAAGCTTAAGGTGTACAAAGTGTTGATTTGATTCATTTATAAATTACAAAATGATTAACACCATAGTATTAGCTAATAGCTCCAAAACATACATAGTTATGATTCCTTTTTTTGTGGTGAGAACATTTAAGATCTACTCTGTTAGCAACATTCAAGTATATGATGCAATATTATTAGCTGTAATCACATGCTATACATCAGATTCCCAAATTTGTTAATCTAATAACTGGAAGTTTGTATCTTTGACTAATGTCTCCCCACTTCCACCCCCCGCCCCCAACTCCTAGGAATCACCACTCTGTGTTTCTGTGAGTTTGCTTTTTAGGTTCCACATGCTGTAAGTCCTCGCTTGGAAACTGACTTTAAGCAGAACGACATAAAATGAAAACAACTTACCATAGGCTAATTGATCCAAGCAAGACTTAAATTCCTATGGCGTATGTTAACTATACATATAAATGAATTTTCCACCTGGAAGCAGATATTTTTTTCTGGGGAAGTTAAACAGATGCATTTAATTTCCAGATATCCCTAAGCCTCACATCGAAGTCCCTAGCCTGAGGTCACCTGGGGATAATGGTCATTGCCATGTTCATGATTATTCTTGTATTCTCTGGTTCTGATTGGACATTGATGACTCTCTTCCTAAGAGTATCAGCAGCCCTTAGCTGTGCCAGAGTTGAAGTCCCAAATTTCATAGAACTTTGGTTGTGGGAATGCATAATACAAGGTCCCACAGGGAAAGGTGTGGGTTGGAACCTCAGTGCACTGATACTGAGTTGCTGGTTGCTGGGAATTGCCTGTATTTATTCTAGGGTCCTGCACACGTTAGATTTAGTCTCAGTTTTCTCAGCTGTGGAATGAAGTGAATTCTGTGCATCAAAGTTCTATCTTTTGGGTTTTCACACGGAGACAGGACTATGCTCTCAGCTAGCACCTAACTCCATCAAAACAGAGCTCACACCTGCAGCGCTTATCACGTGGTTTTCAGTGTGCGGTTAATAGTTGGGATTTTTACATAGCTTTAAAATGATGTGTTCTCCCTTTCAAATTATGCTCAATACATTTGTTGTTGTTATAAAACCGCCTTCTGTTAACTACAGGTGCACCTGGTACAATGACATGAACAAAATGAGCGCTAAATATTAAACCGTACATATACATTATGGATAATGTGTTTGGATAATTCGTGTGGCATCACTGATGTGGGAAAAGCTCTTTACAAAGTTGAATTGATCATTAGACTGTTTTCTGTTTGTTAGCTTGTGCTTGGTTTTAGTATTTCCTGTTTATTATCCTGTTCTTAGTTTTAATAGGTAGGCAAACGTTTGTTATCTTGAGTAAAACATTGTTTCTTGCTGAAAACTTTAATTATCTAAAAGATTGAGAAGATAATTGGGCTGACCTACTGAAGAAGTGCAAGACCCATGTATGTTATTTGTTCCCCATTATTTTTTCATTAAAAAATACTTGGAGGTTTTTCTAGGTTCTGCACTAGAAATGGGAGAACAGGTATGAAAAAAAAATCGACATGTCTTCAAGGAGCTTACAGTGTAACGAGTTACAGACATAGGCACAGATTCCTAAAAGTCAACTTGGCATCACTATGAGGAAAATTTGGATAAGTACTTTGTGAGCAGAGGTGAAGGACAGCAGAATCTTTTCCAAGGAATTATGGGAGGACTTACCGAGCAGGTGCTACTGCATCTGAGGTTGGGAGGCTGGGTAGCAGGTGGATAAGAGGCATTCTTAGCTCAGGGAAGACTCTGCAGGAAGAAGGGACTGGGGACTGCAGGATATACCCAAGGAAGTCCATTGACATGAAGAAAATGCAATTGTGTGTGGGTGGAAGTGGGGAGATGAGGAGGTACAGCAGATGCTATTGGTGCCCAATGCTGTCCCTTTGGCCTGACCCTGCTATAGATGTGGCCGTTGGACAGTTTCTCCCCTCAACACCAGAGGTTTCTCCCAGTTTTTCAGCTTTATGATTTTCCTTGAAGCTATGGAACTGGTTCAGACTGGAAATAGGGGTCGGTGAGAATTAATGTATGAGGCAGCCATACCCTCAACCAATGGGGGAGAACAGTTGATGGCAGACGTTCCACCCCGTGCCTTTTAGAGGAATATTGTTTCTGTGACCAGCTCAGCAATGTACCCTTCTCCCTTTCCAATTATGCGTAATATGTTGACGCCTCTCCTTTCCCATCTCATTCTCTTTCCCCTGACTACCCACCAACTCTCAGCACGTATGTTCTTGTCCCTGGCTTTGCTTCCAGGGGATTTCAAATTAGGACTGTAGATGTGGCATGAGGAGTTTTGTAAGTCATACTCAATATCTATGTTTTATGCTGTAGTTTATGGGAAGCCATTGAGCTGGGGAGTGGTGTGGTCAACCCTGTGTGTAGAAGACCATCTGCTGGCCGAGTAGAGAGTAAACTGAGGAACAGGCGGGTGGTCTGATGTCCATAAGAAGGTGACAGCCAGAAAAGGGTGCCTACTCCACAGCAGAGGCCATGAAAGTGGAGTGATCAGGACACTCAAGAAATGCCTAAGGGGAGAATTGCAGTGGTTCTCAACCTTCCTAATGCCTCGGCCCTTTAATATAGTTCCTCATGTTGTGGTAACCCCCAACCATAAAATTATTTTTGTTGCTACTTCAAACTGTAATTTTGCTACTGTTATGAATCGTAATGTAAATATCTGATATGCAGGACGTATTTTCAGGGGTCGCAACCCACAGGTTGAGAACCGCTGATTTAGAGGAATTACTTTAACCAACATTTTGAAAGTTAAAGATTTTTTTCCCTTAATGCTTTTTCTTAGTGCTTTCATAAAAAATATTATGATACTCTAAATGAAAATGATATAATTCTACCTTAATGAAGTAATTTTTGATAGTTTCTCTTGTATGGGTAACAGACCAAGTCTGGACCTCACCTATGATTCTCTCACACATGTCAAGAGTTTGCTGGCCTTTTGTAAAGTGTGATTAGATTATAAAGAAAAAGTGTTGCTAGTCTTATGGATATCATTTATTGCAAAAGCTGAATTGTGACTAAGTTGAACTTCAGAATCATAAAATACTGCAAATAATTACCTGATTATTTTTGTTATTTTGAAAAAAGAGAACTCTGGTCTAATTTTCTAAGTAGGTTTTAATGTAATATCCTTTTAAATGTGCGCATATGTGTACCATATGTGTGCCTGTGTCAAGCTCTCACACAGGGTGCAATATTTTAGTATCTATTTTTACGGTTTTATACTTTAAACTTTGTCACTTTTCTGCTTATCAACCACAGTCCCTTACATATAGAATACAGCATACTTAAGAGTAGTTTTAGGGTTTGAAAGATTCAAATATCCTTTTTGAGGTTGGCCACAAAAGAAAGTTTTTGATTCCTGCAACATATTAGTTTAGCTTTTTCTCCCCCCCCCCCAAATAAGCAAGAACACATCCCAGCAAATGAAAGCTGGTAATGTACATTCAGAAACCACTTTTAGGTGATATGTCATATATAAGATGTAATCTAGTATACCATAAACCAAAAGGTTTTTGAGCTGTGAAATTTGAAGAATTTCCAGATTACATTAATTTCTTCATCAATCCCAACATGGTGTCCTTTTTCTCCTTTTATGTAATATGCAGTTTTCTTTTACAGAAGGTAAAAACAAATGCAATTTAATCAGTAAAATATGAGGCTAATTATGACAACTTGGAAATTCAGTTAAGACATGTTTTCAATGCAATTTTGGATTTTCATATTTTGAACACCTGCTGACTCTACACTGCAAGTTAGTGAAATGTTGCATAATGACGGTTCACTGTACACCTGAGTTGTTTAAAATGTGGATTTACTTGGTCTAGATTGTGGAAAACCACACCGGGAAATGAGGATGAACCCCAAAGCGATTACGGCCCCACAGATGTTTGGGCGGCTCGATGTGGCCACGAATGACTGGACTGATGGGATATTTTCTACTCTTTGGAGGAAAACATTGAGAGCTAAGAAAGGTAGAAGATGAATTATAATACTATTTTTTGACATGTACTTCTAAGAAAAGACCTGGGTGGCTCTTAAAAATTAGTAGAAAAACTGTGTTCTCCGTATAATATCTTAGTCAAGGCTAAGAAGTCATAAATCTGTATGATATCTGTGAATGTTGAAATACTATTGATTAGTGTTTTTAAAACCTCTTTCATTCCTTCTCCCCCTTATTTTTTGGTTAAGAAGGGAATTATTTTCTTTTTGAAAAAATGTTCCTGTATTCCTCTGATATCTTAGAATAAAAAAGATAGAAAAAGTTGTTAAGGAAAATTGATAGTATTTAATAAAGTGATCTTACCATAACTATTTTCACTGAGTATTTTTAAAATGTTGTTCTTAGTTAAGTACAGCCTATTAACAAAAACCTAATTCTTCAATAAAATCACTGGAGGAAGTGGGCTTCTTTGGAGAGAAAATTGTGTATATACAAAATGAAGTATACTGAATTAATAAATTATTCAGATTATATATGTATAAGTATAATATGCTTCTATTGATTTTAGAGAGAGGGGAAGGGAGAGGAAGAGATAGAAACATCCATCAAATGGCTGCCTCCTGTACCCCCCTACTGGGGATTGAGTCTGAAAGCCAGGCATGTGCCCTGGGCCTGGAATTGAACCAGTGACCTCTTGGTGCAGGGGTTGACGCTCAATCAACTGAGCCACACCAGCCAGGAACAAATTATTCAGTTTAGGTGTTTGATTGCTGTTTAAAGAGACTCAATAAGGGCTGCATTTGTGTATGTATGCTCCCCCCCCACACACACACCTTTGCTTGTATATTCTAGGGGAGCATATCTGGATAGTTCTTGATGGTCCAGTCGATGCCATCTGGATTGAAAATCTGAATTCTGTTTTGGATGATAACAAAACTTTAACCCTTGCCAATGGCGATCGGATTCCCATGGCTCCAAACTGCAAGGTTATTTTTGAGCCTCATAACATTGACAATGCTTCTCCTGCTACCGTCTCAAGGAATGGGATGGTTTTCATGAGTTCTTCTATCCTGGATTGGAGTCCTATTCTGGAGGTATGATTGGAGTCTTTCCTATGTGTAAAGACAAAGCGGATCCTTTAGTGTTGTTCAGGTAGAGTGCCTGCTGATTTTTCCGCAGACCCACAGGGTGTAATTGCACTTTAATGCTACCGTTTATGGGAGATCGTTGAATGCTCTGGGACATGCAAACCCTGATGGCCCCTTACAGGTTTCTTCAATACTCTTCTAATCAGGGGAGATCTGTGATTTCCAAACCTTGGGTTGGGGAGTAATTGCAAGGCCCAGGTGAATCAATAACCCCACTGAACGGTGACTGAATAAATAACATTAAATTTTTTCACTTTGGGGATTCATGACATTTTTAAAAGGTATTCATTTGCATAAAGTTTGGGAGCAGCCATCTTAGAATATTAACTTGAAGAGGACAATTTATTAAAATGGCATAGAAAGGATTTTTATTAGACTCAGGATTATAATTTTAAGTTTTACTTGGAAATAATATTTTAGATAATTTCTCTTTAATGCATGATAAGGGATATATTTTATTACTACCAATATATCCTAGAGTATATTACTGATAATTAGATTATAATTAGATACTATAGTGTAAGGCAGAATGCTTATTAGATAAGCCATCTATAAAACTTTTTTTGACATTGTTAGTCAGATTATTTTCAGTTACATGTTTTGGAGATGATTTGGATAGAAAACTTATGAATTCATAATTTGGATAGTGTAGATGTTTTTTTTTATATTGCCATTAAATTTTTGTGCTTCTTTTTGTGTATGGGTATATCCTGACTTATAATAATGCATTTTCAGAATTTACACGTCTTTGAGTTTTGAAAGGGTTTACATCTGGTGAAGTATGAAGATGTGAAGGAGGAGATTACATAGCAAAATGATACTGACATTGGTCATGTCACTAAAAATTCTTCTAAAGGTTTCAGATTTCACAAATACATTATCCACTCATTAAGGAGAATACAGAGCAAGTGTTCTCAACCCTGGTCTTGCAAAAATAGTCACCAATGACAGTTCTTATAACACAGATGATTGGTCACCCCCCGCTTCCCCCGCCCCCCCCCCCGCCAGGATTGGCAACTACAGGTACAGCGAACTCGAAGTCAAAGCGTATTTATGCGATTTCCCCCCAATATTACCAATTCACAAAGGCTTTAAAAATACTTTTATGCTACTAGCTAATAAATAATTGCTATTTACAAAATAAGCTCCTATTATATCTTGTCAATGTTGAGGCTGAATTGGGCATATACATTAATGGTAGACCTACGTAATATTTTTATATGCTTTTAGCGAATGCAGTTTCTTCCTACAAATGAGTGGGAAGAAGCAAGACTCACAACAATCCGGGAGCAGTGCAAGGCTGTGCTCAGGGGGTTATGAGAGGGCAGAGCAATGGCGAAGGTGTTCATGGGAATCTCAGCCCCAGGGAACCAAGCTGATTCCTGGCCCCAGGGTTGATGTTTTTGGTCCCATCGACCCAAAAGTGCTATCTTGTTTTCATTTCATGAGTTGATGAGTAATTTGGAACCAACATTAAATTGCTTCTGTTTGGAGTCTTTAAGAATGAGCTGATGTCTTCATGCCAGAGAAACTTTCTTCTCCTTAACAAAATACTGTTTTGTGTTAAGTGCTATTTTTGTTATGAATCACATGTACTTTCCTAATATTGGGTTGCACAGATGACTAAATTCTCTAATTTCTTGAGAATTCTTTGATATTTTTCTACATTGGTTATTAATTAAACTATTGGTGAAAATCTTTGTTTTCCATTTTGCAAAGTCTGGGTATGGATTTCCTTTGTTGATCTTGTATTCTGCTTTGTTTTAAAACATTATTTCCATATATTGCCCTCTTATTTTTTTCTAGCATATTTTAATCAAGAGCTGAATATTTTTTCTCCATATTGGCTTTAAGAACTGATTATATGTGTAGTGAAGTAGGTGACTGTGTGGACACTGGAGCCAGATTCCGGGTTTGAATTCTGGCCTTGCCACCTACCAGCTATGGGATCCTGGGCATGTTACTTGAATTCCCTGGGCTCCAGTTTCTTCATATGTAAAAGAAGGATAATAATAACTCTTACTTCATAGAATTGTTCTGAGCATTTAATGAGTTAATACATGAAGGAATTTATAGCAAGGCCTGGCCCATCGTAAGTGTGGTATAATCATTAGATGTTGTTATTAATCGATATTTTAAAAGCTCTTGTTCCACCATGACCATTTCGCTGGTGTGCTAATAAATCTAATTCATGCATTAATTTGTAAACGGACAGGGCTTTCTTAAAAAACGCTCACCTCAAGAAGCTGAAATCCTTCGGCAGCTGTACACCAAATCTTTTCCCGCCCTGTATCGCTTCAGCATTCAGAACTTAGAATACAAGATGGAGATGCTCGAGGCCTTTGTCATCATGCAGAGCATTGACATGCTGCAAGGTCTGATCCCTTCGAAGGTAAGTGGCTCGGTTTTCTGGAGAATTTCTCTCTCATTGGCGGAGTCATACTGCGCAGAGGGCAATATTTGAAATTGCTTTTGTTAGAGCTGTGGGGAGGGGAGATGTTTCAAACATGGACCTGCATATTTTTTCTCCCCCCCGCCCCCCATAAAGCAAGCCGTGGTTTTGTAATTTAGTTGCAGGTTTGCAAACCCGCTTGGTTGGTTTTCCTTTAGATCAGTGTTGCACTGGTTTCCCAGTCGTACTCATCTTTCCCTTGTTCTTGTTTTGGGGGTAAACCGTTGACCCTTTTATATCTTGGCTATTTTCGTTACAACTTCAAAGCAAAGTTTGGGTTTGAGAGTTATGTAATTACATTTTGTTCTTTCGGTTCAGGAACAGGGTGTGGAGGTCACATCAGGGCACCTGGAAAGGCTGTACATCTTCTCCCTGATGTGGAGCGTGGGGGCCCTGCTGGAGCTGGGGGGTCGGCGCCGGCTGGAGCACTGGCTGCGGTCTCAGGAAGCGCTGGCCTTGGACCTGCCGCCTCTATCCGGGACCGACGACACCATGTTTGACTATTACGTCACGTCCGATGGTGAGGATGCTCACTTCCATTTATATGTAGCCCACGAGAACAGTTTTATATATGTGGTGAAACTCTTGCATGTAAAATTAAAATGGAAATTCTCATGTGTGAAGGAAGCTAATTGTTTCTTTTTCAAATATTGTGTACTGAACTTTTAATGAATTAAAAACAAAATTAACCCCCCCAAATCAGTTCCATATTAGCTATTCATGATACAATCAGTAATTTATATAAAAATTACAAAGTGTGAAGTATATTTTCACCAAATATGTGTGTACCTATACATCTATATCTATACCTGTACTTTAAGGTACTTTAAGTATTTATATGTGCATACATATATATGTATAAAGTACATACATATCCTTTATAATCAAAGGCTTATATGCAAATCGACCGAACTGCAGAATGACCAGTTGCTATGACACACACTGACCACCAGGGGGCAGTTGCTCAATGCAGGAGCTGTTCCCTGGTGGTGAGTATGCTCAGCCAGAAACCCTGAGCTGGGCTCATGGCTGGTGCGTGCAGGCTTAGGCATGCGGAGGGCTCCTGGACTATGAGAGGGTGCAGGCCAGGCTGAGGGATACCAGCCCCCCTTCCTCCAGTGCACAAATTTCGCGCACCAGGCCTCTAGTACAGATATGAAATGTGTGTGTGTGTATATATATACAATATGCAATATTTATATATGGCATCCTAGGGGCTTATATTTTTTGTCTTACAATTAAGGAAGTAGGTAATGAAAAAGTTTGTGAGGTTAAACATTTAAAAATGATTTTATGTACATACCACTGTCACAGTGTTCTGTATGTTTATACAGATTTTATGTTATTAAAAACCTACATATTTAAAAGAAAATTTCAAGATTCTTTGAAATATTTCTTAGTAGTATGAATTTGGAATAGTTCCTAGGGAAATTCTGACTCAGCTAAAACATACTTGAATAGTACTTAGATCTCTCAGATTTCAATGATCTTTATTTTATGGGGAGATTTTGGAAGATGTCTTTATGAAATGTCAGGGATGTCTGCTCATTACAGTCAGTTAAATTATTAATAGGAGTGACTATGGCGAGGTGAATGTTCTGTTTACCTCAGGTAAATGGATGCATTGGGACACCTGTACCGAGGAATATGAGTACCCACCTGACACCACCCCAGAATATGGCTCCATCCTGGTGCCGAATGTTGATAATGTGAGGACTGATTTCCTAATTAAAACCATCGCTAAACAGGGCAAGGTATGGCTCTTTAACTTTTATTAAAAATCGCATATTTAAAAATGTCATTTGAGAACATGAATTTAAATGTTACCCCGATTAGTATGCTTTTTTATTATTCCCCAATAACAATATTAGCATTGAATAGCTCTCATTCATAATTAATTATTTCTTATGAGAGAAGGTGAATTTTGACTTGTTTTTCAAAGAGAAATCCATGTCTTTGGATTATTGTATTACTTTGCTAGGGCTGACATAAGAGCTGGGTGGCTTAAACAAGATACTCCCCCCACCCTCCACAATTCTGGAGGCTTGAAGTTCAAGATGAGTGTGTCAGGCTTAGCTTTCTTTCTGAAGCCTCTCTCCTTGGCTCACAGATGGCCTACTGTCCTCCCAGAGCCTTTATCTGTGTGAGAGCTTCCCTGCTGTTTCTTTATGAATCCAAATGTCCTCCTCTTCTAAGGATGCCAGTTAGACTGAAGTAGGGCTCACCTTAATGCCCCATTTTAACTTAATTATCCCTTTAAAGAACTTTTCTCCGTATATAGTCACATTCTGAGGTACTAGGGGCCAGAGCTTCAAACTATGAATTCAGGGTGGTGGGGATGGGGGGCACTGCCAGTTCAGCCCATGACAATCATCTTATTGTATTTCTTGGATTTCTTTCTCAACCCCTATTGTAGGCTGTGCTGTTAATCGGTGAGCAAGGAACAGCTAAGACAGTCATAATGAAAGGATTTATGTCAAAATACAATCCTGAAAGTCACATGACCAAGAGTCTGAACTTTTCTTCTGCAACCACCCCACTCATGTTTCAGGTACTGGCTCTTGAGGTTTGCTTAGCAGCCCAGGTTTGTGATAAGCTGGAGGCTCCGCTCTCTCTACCGTTCTGCTGTGCCCGCCGAGCTGCTTCTCCACCCCCACAGCCATGACAGGTCCCTACATATGCCTTCCATTATCTCTCTTATTCAACTGCAGTAGTATTTCTCCCTAATTAGATTAAAACATATACACATCTTAAATGATGGAGAAACGAAAAACGAAAAACATAAGGTATTGAAGACCTTGATCCTATTTAAAATGTCTATGTAGGAAAGCCTGCAAAATCTAAAGTGGACTGAAAGAAATATTTATTCCTCCACCGAAACCTACTTCCTCTCCTTATTATTGTTATCAAACCCCAGTTTTTGAGTCCCTGTGCCGGCACGCATGGCCCAGAGAAATGCGCAAGCAGGAGTTTGCAGTGAAGAAAGGAAGTAGTTCATTACTGTAAGATTGCCCAGTCCAGACTGGGGGCGAGCTTGTCTCTTAAAGACCCGGCTCCCTGATGATGTGTACATTACAGATTACATAGGGCCAAATCGCAAGATACAGTGGGTGGGTTAGGGGTTCTGTGTTGTGTTAGAAACTGAGTGACCGGAGGTGAGGTAAGGGTGATACCTCATTTCTTCAGCTCTGGAGGGCAGCTCTGAGGTATGCCCTGGCCTCCCTCTCTCTGGTTTCATGGAATAATAGCTAGGGGCCATTCCACCCTAGGACTCAGGAGCTGAAACATAACTTAGGCCAAGATGTTGTCTTAAGTCTGACAGAGATCCAGACCTTGTGACCATTAGTCAGGTCACAAGGCTTTTGTCTTCTCCTGCCTCAGGGGTTAATAATTACTGGAGGAAAGTCTAGGCCCATGAGATGGAGAGAGGGAGAAAAAGATGATTTTCTAAAGCTATAGTCACAAATCAAATCAAATCATTAGGACACTCAAGTTTCACTGTCTGCTTTTCTGTGGGTGTTACCATTATTCTAGCCTTTAGACTGGATCCATTGGAGGCATCTTTGATGGATCTCTTTTGAATCAAGGGCAGCTAATGTATCTAAGAAAATACTTGTCACATCCTTCCTTTTTTCCTCATTCTCCCTGTCTGCCTCTACATAATCCACTACTTCTTGATTCCACACCAGGGTAGCAGCATGAAGGAATCCCCAGCTGGTCTTTGTTCAAGTCTAATTCTTTTACAGTCTACCTTTTATTCTCCTTCTAATCTCCGGTTCATATATTGTCACTTTTACCTATTGTTCCCTGGCTTAACATTTTGCAATAGCTCCCATTATCAATTGCAACAAGGAATAAAATCGTAGGCTTTTATACTAAGGATGCTATCCTATCATATCATTGAAGAGTCACAGGAACCCCCCACCCCCCCGAATTTGCATTGCTTTTGTCAATGAAGCTGCCAAGAATGACCTGGGTTTGCAGTGGCTGGTTGGTCGTTTTCTCCTGTTCCTAAGTCATCTAAGACCTTATTGAAATGGGAGGAAATCCAAAGTGTCATTTCATGCTTCAATTGTTCTTAAATCACCTCTCATATCTTCGTCCTTCCGGGACAAAGCTGAGAGTGTAGCCGCAGGAATCGAGGCAGCCACTGTGGCTGCAGCTGCAAGGGAGGGATCCAGGCAGCCATGGCTGCGAAGGCCTACTCTTGCATCGGGCCTCTAGTGCATTAATAAAAGGACACATTTTATACATTGAAAATGGAAGGGAAGTTTTTAGGAGAATCCAAACCCCAAGAAGTTTGCTTTTGATTAACTTTGTTGTTCTTTAGTTGTCAGAATGAAAATATCAAAGAGCAATGAAAAATATTAAAAGCATAGCTAAATCATGGCATTTTCTCACTTAATGTAATTGGTGACTGCAGAATGCCAATAAACTGAGACCATTGATTAAGTTTCTAAATAAGACTGCCAGCTATGTAATGCTCCTCTTTTAGACGTGGCATTTTCAATACTGGCTAGCCTTCAAGCAAATGAATACAATTTCACAGTGTTGTGATGGTGTTACCGGAAAGGAGATCTGGCTGGCCCGTGGTGGGTCTGCCTAGGCTGGCCTGTGGTGTGTGGGTTCTTCACTTTGTTCAGGAACATTTTCACAACACGAGTCCAGGTGACTATGAGGGAACATTTATTAAAGCTGGGGACAGTAAAACAAGAAAGTGCTTAGCATAGAAGAAGCAACAGGTGAGCCTCGGCTGGGCTGCCCTCGCTCTCTGGGAATTGAACCTGTGACCTTGGCATATGTCTCTTTAACATGAGATATTTACTAATTTTCTGGAAAAAAGACAGGTATTATCTAGAAGACAACCCTTTTGTTGATATGCAAATTCATAAACTATATAATAAACTTCTAACAGTGGTACCATATTGAAGTGTGATAATTAGAAGAATTATGAAGCAGGATTTTTCTGATTCACAACTACTTTAGACCAATTCCCTCCTGTCCTTCAGTGTGAAGGTGGTATCAACAATTCTTTCGTTTTCTGTTCAGAAACATCACAGGATCATGTACTCTGTTTAGTGCCTGTTTTGACTGCTGAGCATCCAAGCTTTTGATTAAGTTAGAGTCATTAGTTTTACGAAGCTTTTGATTAGCCAAACTGCTGTAGTTAACATTCTTACTGTAATTTTCAGCCTTTTATGCTAAACAAGGGCTGATGGAGCTGAGCATTTGTCTCAGTATCTCCCACTTATCTGGATTCAAACCAAGTTGAAATTCTAGATGAGAAAATAGTACTGTCCAATCATCCTGTGTTGCCATGGTAGCACACAGTCTATTTTCAACAGGGTTTCCTTTGTGTTCACTATGCTATCGCTCTCATATCTTTCATCAGTAGAAGGACTGGCTGTATGTCCCTCTTTGCCTGGGACAGTCCAGTTTACTTCCATTGTCTGAGATTAATAATTAATGGCATGCCCTGTCATGATCGAAAGTGTGTGCTTTCGGCAAAAATTATATGGTCACCCTATTCTTTGGTGGAGAGAATTCAGTTGGTTTTTTAAAAGAGACTTCTCATTTATTCCACAAACAAATATTGTTTTAATGTATTATTCTATTTTTTTTGAAAATAATCCATACATATCTTTCAAAATTTAAGCAATACAGAAAGATAAAGTAAAAGTTTCTTAAGAAAATTTTCTAAATTCTGAATTTATCTCTTCTAGAAATAATCATAAAGTGTTTTGAATGTAACAGTATTGTAAATGGTTTGCATATCAATAGGTTTTGTTTTTTAGAAAAATAAGAATCAAAGAGCTGGGAAGGACATTCCATATTTCTTTTCTAGACTCAGAGTTGTGTTTTCAAATGCAATTGTAGACAGAAGACTAAGCTACACAACAAGGAGCCAAGGATTTGCTGTGGTGGAATTGGAGCTGGGCTCCTGCGACCCCTTCAAGCCTCATCCTGGCTTCCTGCAGGGGTCTCTGCATTAGCAGAACATTCTTTTGACTCCTCAAAACACAATTGGAAGACTGTTTCGCACAGGGAGATTATGTGAAAGTATCTTTTCATGGTAAAGTCCCCTAAAAATGTCAGGTGTTACTGTTAATATTAATGCATTCAGGTGGAGGGAGATGAAAGTTCACACAGTCGGGGCAAAACCTGAGGGAGAAACCCCGTTCCCACGCCTTCCAGGGTGCCCTCCCAGCTCACCCCTGTGCTTCCTTCTAATGGCTTGTCTTTATCCACATTGACATTCAAGTAATTGATTCATTACTCAGCAGTGCATTTGTTTTATTTTTATCTTGTAATTATGCACTATTGTATTTTCATGTTGCTTGTGATATCATTTTACTATTTATATTGTACATTTTAACTCTGACTAGTGTAAGACTATTTTCATTTGGTTTCCATGAATTATAATAAAATGGGAAGATCTTACATAGGCAGTAGATTTATTTTGTATCCAAAATGCATTTATTGGGATGGTTCCCCACTCATCTCCACTTTGACTTCTGCTTCCTTCTGAAGGAGCATCCTCTGGAAACCTTGCCTTTCCTCCTGTTGGCTGACAGAGGACCAGGGGGCACCAACACACGCAACTACCAATTGTACAAGGCTAACGATGGTGGTGATTTCACAGCATCCTGGGCATTTAACATAGGATAGTAGGAATTGGACTCTGTACCAGGCGCTTCTTCCTGTGTTTTGTCTTCTATCTTCTGGAGAGGGATGAAGGAGATCCTTAGTCAGAGGCATGCTAATGTGGGGATGTCATTACCACCAGAAAGCTAGGCAGTAAATTTTTTAATAAAGAGAATAAACTCTCCATTGTGAGAGATACGACAACCACCACCTGTGCGGCTAGGGTTCAGGACCTGGAAAAGGGCCATGCACAAATGATGACACTAGACAAGAAATATGAATTTAGAAATCATAGGGGGCCAGGCGGAGAACCCAACTCTACTGGAAGGGCTTCATTGGTGCCAAGGCCATGCTTGCTTTTTATTCAATTTTAGATACACATCTTGCCCTTAGTAGAGCAGGCAATTATGGTAGCAGACAGACTATCTTAAAGGTCAGTAAATATTAGTAAAGATTCACTTTGAGACTATTAGATCAGGAAATTGCTTGAGCTACCATCGTCTCAACTAAATAATCGGTGCATAGCTTTAGCCCTTGCCAAAGCTCAAGGTCCATCAGCCTTCTGGGTTCCTTGTTTACACTTTCCTGATAGTGTAGATAATGGATAGCTTCCAGCACTCCATTTTTATATTTTCGCTAAATAGCAGATAAATGGAAGCCTAAAATTAAGTGTATTTTATATTTCAATTTAATTAGATGTAAAATGTATGGAAAATGATTCAAGTGCTGATCCATAGAGATACGTACAGTAATAATAAAATATCTCTTTTTTAATAATGCATTAAGGCCACTAAGTGCTTTCATATATATTATATCATGTGTGGATAATACTCATGCATATATACACAAATGTATGTATGTATGATTTATGCATCGTTATATATAGTCCCACTTCTGAGCTGTGATTTAGACATACTAAGTGACTTACATCAATTGACAATGTTAATAAGTGGGAGAAGTAGCAGTTGAATCCTTTTTTTCTGACTTAAACCTAATGAGAGCTATTGAATAGGCCATGCAGGCTATGCAGGTTTATGCTATATCCAATTCACAGAGATAATCATGTGAATGGTAAATCCAAGAATTGGGCAGTGTACAACCTCCTCAGCTGTACGGGACCCTGCCAGTACCCTTTCCGATGCAAGCTGTCTCCCTCCGTCAGATTGGAGGAGTAGACATATATACAACCAGGCGTAGCTGATGTGATAAGTGCTGTTCATGGTGTAATCTAAGTACTGTAGAGCTCAGAGGAAGAGGGGATGAGTTTCTTTAGGGGATTACAGAAATCAATGTAATGAAGAATTGACCATGACCTGGGGGAATTTAATATTTCTGTTATATTAATTGTAGGAATTATAGAGGCTGAATAATCTATTAAGAAATTAATGCAGAAAGTTGAATTGCCCCAGCGGCCCTTAGGACTGCCAGCTTAGAACGGAGAAGGGCAGCTTTCCTCACCTCCATTCCTAAGTCTATCTGGATCCCTAACCATCTAGTTTTTATTTCTTAAAGCAACACTGTCATAATTGGGATAACCCTGGTTTTCCATCTGTGTGTGAGATAACAACACTGGGGTCCTTTGTTTGCTTCTATAAATTGCTTAAGATGATGTCATGCTGACTACCATTCTCAGATTTCAAAGTAAAATTTTTTTTGTTTATTCTCAGAGAACAGTATACACTCTCCATAATCCAGGCTCTTGCTAGAGATTTCAAAAATTTTTAAAAATATGTTTTTATTTATTTTAGAGAAGAAGGGAGAGGGATAGAGAGATAGGAACATTAATCAGCTGCTTCCTGCATACCCACTACTGGAGATGGAGCCTGCGACCAGGGCGTGTGTCCTGACTGGGAATCAAACCGACCACCTCTTAGTTCATGGCTCAATATTCAACCACTGAGCCACACCGGCCAGGCTCCAGTTTTTTTTAAATCAATAGCTGGGTTGAGAGAAGTAACATTTTAAGGAAGAACATTCATCTACCTCAGTATTTCAGAAGTTGTGTTTGGCTAATACTTATCCCAAGAGATTTCTCTTGTTCAGAAATGGCTGCTCTAGGAATATGTAAATAAGGTTCTCATAACGAACACTGTAAACCGGCCTGTGAGATGAGCATCAGTCTATGGTATGTTTTTATTGCTAAATGAATCTGAATGAATCATGACCTGGAAGGGCTGGAACAAAGAGACTGAGAGTGTGTATAAATGAGACTGGAATGGTAAGCAGGGAGCAGTATGGAGGTCCCTGTAAATCACTAATGGGGAACCACTGGATTAGGGTTACATTGCTGCTTAGGGAGTTCTTTCTGCCTGTGGAGGTGGAGAACAAGATGGAAGAGACGTGGCTGTGCTCAGAGGGACTGGAGAGGGCGTGGCTGCAGTAATTCCTCAGGAGGGAGGTTGGCGGGACCAGGAGAATAAAAGTGGGAATGGAAACAGCACCGAGATGCATTCAAGTTGGGGTTAGAAAGCAGAACTGACAGGTTGAGTGGGTATTGTTGGTGGAGAGGGATGGAAGAGAGAGAAAAAGTTAAAAATGACTCTTAAGTTTCTTGTCTTTATGTATATATTAAATGTTGGCGGATAAATACATTGGGCCAGATACCCTTCTAGGCACTGAGGATGCAACAATGAGAAAGATACGAGGTGCTGACCTCCTTACATTCTGGTGGAGGAGACAGGCAGTAATTAAGTAAACTAATATACTTATTTTTATTAACTGGACCATGGTTTATATCACCAAAACAATGGGAGAGGTGGGGACAGAAGTCAAAGAGATCAGGGAGAATGTGGGTGGTAGGTTACTACAAAAATGATCAGTAATTCTTTAGGGATACTGGAAATTATAAGTCAGACATGTGTATGACTTATAAAGAAGTTTCCATACCAACTGGAGGAGGCTAGGGAGGCAATTTAAGTGAGTGTGACATTAATCCCCATGAGAAAGACAAATAGCTGACCTAGGGCATGTAGGTAGTTGGGGTCTAGTCCTGAAATGAGCACACAGGAGTGGGTGCAGACTTTGGGTGAAGAAGAGGTGTTTATGTTTAGATATGTTGATTTTGTTATGTGATGGATCATCCAAGTGGGGAAGTCTAGTTAGAGATACCAGTCCAAGTCTGTGGTTTCCCCACACATTCCCAAATAGGTGTGTGGGGAGTAAAACACACAATTATTATGTTTCAGGCCTTCAGGAGGTCCCAGCAAACTTCAGAATTCATTAGGTAACTGCTTAATGGGCAGCAATTCTAAAAACAGAAAGAAGTCTCAACTCCAGGTTCACAAGCTATTTATTTGTTCTCCCTACTTTGTTTTTGTCAAATTAGCTCTTTTATGATATATATAGCTTACTAATAATTTCCTGGTATTTCAAAGAAATTAAGGTCATAATGAAGGGGAAGAATGTGCAGGTATGTGGCTATGGCTTCATATTATCTCACTTAGTCCACCTATGGCTTTTAGCTCTTAGAATCCCCCCGCACCCCCTCGCCCCCTTAAGACATAAAAATCTTTATGTGCCTATGTGTTCTCACAAATAGACCCGGGAATGCCTGGAAAGCTCTAGTGCCAGAGGGAGGTGTCGGGAGATTATTAATTGCCTTATGCATTTAAATTCATTGGAAAGCAGAGCTAAATTTAGCCTAGTTCATTACTTCAAACAGTTTGCCTCCATGTCAGGGAATATAAAATTCTTTCTGCCATTGCACTGTTGTCATGGGAGATTTGTTTCGCAATTGAATGAGTTGTGATATATTTATATATCTTTCTATATAAAACCGGTGAAAAATATTTATATCTTTTGCTATTTATTATTTGTTAAAATGAGGATAGAAACTTAAAATTTAAAATTACCAAACTGTGACCATTTCCAAGGACAGATGCATAGATTTTTGCTTATATCATGACCTTATTTTCTGGTTGTACCTTGGATATTAAAGTCATTTTTTACTGGTTTACTCATCATGAAATAAGAGAAAGCTTTTTTTGGATAGGAGGAGAATGCATTTTAGGTCAATATACCTCCACTTTCTCCTATATTTATGCATTATCTTTAATATGACTTAAAATCAAGGATCTGTACAGTGGTAGGACTGAAATGAGGTCTTTAAGACTGGGCTTCTAAAGCAGGCGTGGGATATACTCTGGTGTCGCTTTAGATCCCATAAATCTTTCATCCTTTACTAAAGCAGGGGTGGGGAGCGTCCAGTTCTCGGGCCGTATAAAGCCCATGAAATCATTTGGTCTGGCCCTGCCAAGGCATTAGGGCTGAGTTAATTAAATGTCTGACCAAATACAGCAGGCTGATTTTTAAGTTGATAATTTTGTAAGACCCAAGAATGATGTTATAAATATCCAAATGATCCTTGCAGGAAAAAGATTCCCAACCCCTGGCTAGAGCATGGGAACCACAACGCCCTTTCTGTTTTCTTTGCGGTGCTAGCTCTGGTTAATCAGTGCATACATTTTGAATGACTGATTAATTTACAAACTACAATGTACTACCATGGAAATGATAACATCATAGTCAACAACCTGGGGTCTGCCGAAACTGGTTTGGCTCAGTGGATAGAGCGTCGGCCTGCGGACTGGGGGGTCCCGGGTTCGATTCCGGTCAAGGGCATGTACCTGGGTTGTGGGCACATCCCCAGTGGGAGATGTGCAGGAGGCGGCTGATCGATGTTTCTCTCTCATCGATGTTTCTAACTCTCTATCTCTCTCCCTTCCTCTCTGTAAAAAATCAATAAAATATATTAAAAAAAACAAATAAAAAAAACAAAACAAAACAATCTGGGGTCCTTCTCCCATGTCCCTCTTACCCCTTTCAACACTCCTTCCACCAGTTTTTTTTTTTTTTTTTAGTTGAAGTGTAGTTGACACATAACATTACATTAGTAGTTTCATCAGTTTTAAGGTTCTTTTTCATATTGCTAGGGAAGTGTTTTTATAGAGCACAGTGTACTCTCCTGTGCCACCTAAGCTCAGAAGGTGGAAATGAGAGAGGAGAGGTGGGTGAGTGCTGTTCATTTTGTCTCAAGGGATGAGAAGTGAGGCAGAGTGAATCTGCCCCAAAGCAGTGAGTCTGGATGGCGTCAGGCCACAGGAGCCAGGTGGCAGCCTCCTCATGGAGGGAGAGCCGTCTTTTGCCTACAGCAGGCTGAGCAGCTCAGAGCCCAGTCCTAAGAAGCTTCTTGGATAGTAGCCCTGTTTACCTTTGTTCCTCATTAGAAAGGCTGGCCTCTTTGAACAGCCTTTATAGAGGTGGGGGTGGGCGTTAGAGTGTCAGGAACATAGGCATAATGAGACAGAAGTAAATTTGTAGACATGGCCTGAAGAGCCCCATCGCATTAAAAATTTACATGGATTAGAATTTTATTTACTCCTAAAAAAATCATGTTTTCAAAGGTTGTAAACATTATCAAGATAATTTAGGCACTTTGCACCCTGCATTCCAGATTTAAGGGGAGTTTGGGTTGTTTTTTTCTGAGTAATTCCTGTCAATTCAAGTGTCCCTAAATTTTTAAAATAATTAACCACGGATATAAAAGGGAGAAACTAAGATGGCGGCAGAGATACTGTTGGCTTTCTTGTTTAACAGAGGACAATAGAGAGTTACGTGGATAAACGCATGGGTACAACATATGGCCCTCCTGCAGGAAAGAAGATGACTGTTTTTATCGATGATGTGAATATGCCAATTATCAATGAGTGGGGAGACCAGGTATGTCGAGTCTTATTGTGCACTTTCTTTAATTCAACATGGACTTATTCTTGATGAATCAGTATTTTTCTGATTTTCCAACATATAATTCCTGAATTCCCATCAAGTCCATTGATTTGAAGCACTCAAGAAGTTAGGTTCCAGCAGATAAAGGAGTGACATTTTAATTCTGAAAGTTGTCTTTCCTAGGTTACTAACGAGATAGTACGGCAGCTGATGGAACAGAGTGGTTTTTATAACCTAGAGAAGCCTGGGGAGTTTACCAGCATTGTGGACATTCAGCTTTTGGCAGCCATGATCCATCCGGGGGGTGGACGCAATGATATACCCCAAAGACTCAAGAGGCAGTTCTCTATATTTAACTGCACATTGCCCTCAGATGCGTCCATGGACAAGATCTTTGGTAAGATGAGTGTTGATGGGGCTTGGGGAGGGAAGAGCAATTTCTTGTGTTCCAATGAGAAATATATTGCTAGAGGTCAACACAGAAGGAGCACTGGGTGGCTCCTTAATCTGTTGCCCTTATCAATCTCAAGTAGTGTATTTTGTTTATGTAAGGACTTATATAATGCGATCATTTCCTCATGGACACACAAATTTGAAGTCTGGATTGATACACTATCAAGCCAAAAGTTTATAGAGCTGGTACTTCAACCAACCCGTATAATGATTCTGGCCAAAGAAATAATTTTGCACAGAAATAATTTTGCACTGAGATTAATTATAGTCTCATCTTCCAAATAATTTATAGAGTAATAAATCATTGATTGATTACATATGTAGTATTTCAGGAATAATTTTATTGAAGAAACACAAGCCCAATAGATAATCATAATTATTTAACTGAGTAATAAAAATGATTTATAACCAATTTTGGAATTATTCTTTGCAGAAAGAAAGTGTAAGTTATGTCATTTGTCTTAAGTATTAATTTAGTATTTCTGAACCTGATACTGAGAAAAAACTCCTAAGGATTACCCTAATTAATTTCTGGCAGACCAAAATGTCAACTTAGCACCCTAGGCAGCGCCTGCCTTCAATTACAGCAGTGGGCAAAGGTTTGGAAACCAAATGACATGTGAATTATCTAGGCTTGGGAAAAGTAAAATGGAGCAGAAAGTATGACTGTTACCATTTTTAATTATCTTTTTTGTGGCTTGGGGCCTGGAAAGTTTTATATACAAGGTAAATTAAAATATTTTGTAATGCATGAAAATGCAACAAAAGAATGGAGAAAGCTTAGAGCAGCTATGAAATCTTCCTCTTTCTTATCTCTTTTATAAGGCATCTTTATATATTTATCAGTTACCCATTTAATAATATTGAATTAGTTCAGCTAGAGTTGCAGTAGTTTTTCTTAACTTTCCAGTATTTGAGTGCTAACCTACTTGAACTTGTATCTACTTTTTAGGTGTTAAGGATAAGAGAACATACTATAAATTTCCTTAATTTGTAGTTGTATATTAAAATGTGTAATTATATTTGTGCAAACTCTGCATTATAATGTTATTTATTTTAATTTAGTTTATTTGAACTGTCAAACTGTTATGCGTCTTTTCCCCTTTCAGGTGTCATTGGGACAGGCTACTACTGTATCCAAAGGGGTTTCTCAGAGGAAGTGAGAGATTCAGTGACAAAACTGGTTCCCCTGACACGCCGACTGTGGCAGATGACGAAGATGAAAATGCTCCCCACCCCTGCAAAATTCCATTACGTATTTAATCTTCGAGATCTTTCCAGGATCTGGCAAGGAATGCTGAACACCACCTCAGAGGTTATCAAGGAACCAGATGTAAGTAATACATAAGAAAGACAGACAACATTGTTATTCACCATACACCCTAGATTTTCTTAGTAATATAATCTGTAGTGGAATTATGACAATATTTTTAGATTTTTAGAATGAATATTTTTTCTTTGCTGTTTTTAAATGAACACAAATAAAGAAACAGTATGTCAGAAAATTTTACTTAAAAATTCTAATTTAAGGTTTATGTTTAAGGAAATGGTATACATAGTTATTTTCTGTTAATAGAGAAAAAGGAACAATTGATTTTCTTTTCTTATCAGACGGTATTTTTTTTAATACTAAATAATGGAACAGATTACTGTTGATTTTATTGTATAAGAGTCTTCATATTTTAAACATGTCATTTTAACTTAAAAAGTAATTATCTTTAGAAATAATCAAAATAAAAAAAGAGACCATTTGTTGTTATTAATTCACGATCTTTCCTTTCCATATCACTGAATGCATTGAAAGAATTATGTATTGCTAACATTGAATGGAGGCAGAATAGAAGAAAGAAAGTTTATTTGACAGAAAAATGAGCATTTGTACATCCACTGGAATATAATGGTTCCTAGCATTATAGAATTTCCTTTGAATAAGGATCCAAAGCACGGCCTGTGTGCTCAGGCTAATGTGACCTTGGCCTCTCTTTCAGCCTTTTATGGAACCAAAGAGGTCGTTAAGCAAATGGGTTTTAGGGCACATAAAAATACAGAGAAAGTTGAGATATCAGCTACATGGTCACTAGGCACAGTGTGTTGACTATTTAAAGGAACAACGTTACCCAGATGCTCACAAAGTAGGAATCTGCACTGGTTGACTCTAAGACAAGATATTTTGGTGAAAACTTACTCTCCTTGTTACAGAGAAGTGAGAGCCATTTTAACAGCAATGAACATTTTAACTTGATTTTTTTTCAAAGTTATTGACAAATTAATGGCAT